GCGACCCCCAATCATCCTGTACAGTCAGATTTTGAATTAAGTTTCTACGATGAGCGCAATCTTGCTAACAAATTTTGCGTACGACGTACAACGTACAGATTAACAAAAACCATGTTTAAAAACGCCAAATTCGGGTTCTCTGACCTCAGAAACGTCCAGAAAACATGTTTCTGAAGTTTTCAAAATTTTGACCGATTACAATACTTTTCACCTTACACTATGTGTGCGGAAAAGTAAAAACCGCAATTTTTTTTCTGACAACATTATTTGTTTTATTCAAAGTCTTCAATTTTTCATATATTCAAAGCCAAAAATTCTGTTTCGTAATTTAACTATTTCGAATTCAGTAAATTTCTTTGAAAAAAACTTATAAAATATGTTTTAAAAATGGCAAGTGGATAAAATGCAAAAAATTATTGGTTGTGCTGAGTTCAAAGTCGTTTTCGATTCAATGGGTCTTCGTTTTATGATAATGGAATCAAAGCCACCGCTTACTTTGTTTCCATTGAATTCGATGCCATCTGGACCAATAACAATCTTAGTGTCACTGTTTGCTTTTCTTCTAAAAAATGTGGTTGTTGTTCTTCCTGTGAAGGAAATTGGTTCAATTATTCTGGAAAATGATGGTTTTGTCGACCGTGTGGTTGTGTCATGTGGTTTGGGATTTGTTGTCGGCGGTTTTGAAGAGGTGCTTGTTGTCGTTGTTTCCGTTGACGGTGGTAATGCTCTCGTTGTGGCCAATGTCGTCGTAGAAGATATAACTAGATCTATCGATGGCGTTATTTTGATTGGTGTAGACAAAGCCGTTGAAGTTGTCATTATTGAAATGTTTGGTGGCGAAATGTGTTCTGGTTCGCCATATAAAAACTGAATCGCCATTATATCATCTTCGTGTAGCTCTTGCGGCAGAGGTTTAATGTATCGGGAATACATCACCGAATTTTTCACTGAAGAATCCGAAAGACCCAATGCATGACCGAACTTGAATACAAATAAAATACATAAAATGGGGAGAGATAAAGAGAGCATGAAAAATGATTATTTAGAGAACTCCTATTCAACGGTGAAATGAAAAATGCACTTACAACATAAAGCGCCAATGGGAAAAATAAAACACCTACGAGAAAAAATCAGATCATTAATTTTTCACGGGGCACCATCGAAATTTTCATAGTTCAACCCCAAAAAATACGAAAAAAGATAATTTACTGCATACAGTGGTGTGTGCGGGAAAGTAAACTATGAAAATTGAACTATGAGAACGCCGTGTGGTGCCTTTTGGCACTAAAAATATGTTCACCTGAATGTTCATCTTCTCCCGATAGAACCCAGTTGGTATTTTCACTGAAAGATGGATGACAGGAAGTCTCATTCGGCTTGGGCCCATCGATTTTTACATAAGATCCGCCAGACAGCCTGAAAATTTGAAAACAACAACTAATTTCAAATGGAAAATGTGACAAGCTTTAAAAATGTTCTTAAAAAAACTGGAAAAAACCCCTCATCAACAGAATGTGACCTTTTAAACGATATTTGAATATCGGCGGCAGTGCTGTTCGATTCTTCGAATGTCAACCGTGAAACTTGTGCCCATTTATCAAAAGCCTCTCCGAATCTATGTCTCACTTTGCTCGAATCCAAATTGGTCAAAGTTTTATTTACCAATCTAAAAATGGAAGAAACAACGGATAATTTCATAGGAACATGATTTCTCCTTCTTAATATTTATCTTCTTTCTGTATGAATTAATTTTTCATCAGTTCAAAGTCCAAAAATTCTCGCATCAAAACTGCATGTTTACCTCCAAGTGAGATGTGTTTTATTCCATTTTGTTCCGATGACTGAAAATCGTCGCGATCGCACCGAAAGAATGGTGACTGATTTAGAGTCGTCTTTGTTAATTATTTCAATATTTGTGTCTTCATCTGGTTTTGGCTCATTTTCAAAGTCCAAAGAGTAATCGAAATCACTTGAGGAATTGAACTGTACAACCTCGTCATCATCCACGATCGCTTTCCCTTGACATACTAATATCAATTGCAAAATAATAATTGTAGCCAGGGTTCTTTTTGACAGCTGTCGAGCACTAGAATAACCCCGAAAAGACTCTTTTTGAATTCCCATTTTCAAAAGAAATCTCTTTTGTTGAAAATAATTGTAAAATATTAATTTTTAAAATTGAAGAAAAAGTCAACTATTCGACTCAAAGCGAACAACAAAACTAAAACCAAGAATTGAATGCATTTATTCCAACGCAAATTAGACGTGATATTGAACATCCGTTTGTTTAGCTGTGAACGATAAAACTATAAACGTTTTGCGCGTTGTAATATGCAATCGGTATTTGAAAGGGTCAAGGTTCTTTTTAACTGCAACTCATTCGCTTATTCGATTTAGATTTATCGCACGAGCGTGGCCGAACCTTGAATATAAAGTTCAAAGGAAATTCAAATTGAAATAAATATGAAACTGATAAGTGAGGAGCGATATCGCTTTAAGAAATATAAATTTTTGTGCGGAATTCACTATTCCAAAATAAGAAATTTTTCAAAAAAAAAATGACCAGCGGCACCTTACTTTCAAAAATTGACGAGATCAACTCAATTTAGTAAAAGACAGAGAAATTTATTGAGAAGAATTTCAAAAGTGAATAGAAAATAGCGCGAAATATTGCCAGTTGCACCAACTTGACATTGGCATGTAGTCAGACGTCATAAATTCTATTTCAATTGCTTTTTTCTTTCAAAGAATTAATTTGCTCTTTGTGTTGCAGCGCAAATATACTCGTTGATAAACCGCCGAATATCTTATTGAGAAAAGCAGAGCATTTCATCGAAAATCGGACCATCGAAACTCCACACTATTCGACTATAAATTGATTAGGTTTGGACACCATTCGTCAAATCGCGTGTAAGTATTTTGTTTGATTAACGGTTGCAAAGCACTGGAAGAGATATTGAGATGGCTTTAGTTTTTATCTCAAAATAGAGATAACGTGGCCTTGATTAACTAGCTGAAGCATATGGTGGTATAGTGAAACGTCCTAATGGTGTACATTCCATTGGCGATCGAACCTTTAGTTTTATACTGTTACCAACGAAAAAACTAAGTTCCCACGGAACCAGAGACTGTTTATCATAGCAATGTGAGGAAGAGAATGAAGGTTAAAATCAAAAAACTTTTTTATTTTCGATAATTTCTTATTTTTTGAAGATTTCATGCGAAATTGAACATTTTCGATTTTTAAAAAGTGAAAAATGTGTTGAGTTCACTTCCAACGACAAAATATTCCAATGAAAGGTGCCAGTCGAAAGACGTGCTAACTTCACTTTGGTAAACATCAAATGTCAAACGATTCTTTTTTTTCAGATGTACAATTCAATTTTGTTGCAACAAGAGCCAACCATTTCTTCGCTGTTCTTTACATAGATAGCATTCGCATCAAAATTGGGAGTGAATAAATTGAAAGTTACTGAAAACGCGAATAAATTGAAACTTGTAAGTTGTTTGCTCTTTACCATATTGTTTATATTTATTTCAATGTTAAATTCAGGAATATCGTTCGGCAACTGAAAATCAGTTTGAATTTTGTTTTCTCTGTGTGACAGGTCACGTTTTGAAAGCCGACGACAGAAGAATTTGTTGTTAACGAAATTTCATTCGATTCGATTTAACGGAATTTTTGGTTACACAAACAGTGACGATATAAGATCTTGAAGAATTCCACAATCTTTGAGTCGACATCAACATTGCAAAGGTGAGTGTTGCTTCAATCCTGTTGAAGAATTCTTTTGTCTTAGTTTAGCAAAAAACAGATGATTACTTAAATTTTGCAACAAAAAAAAACCTACTTGGAACCGTAATTGGTATATAATGGACATTCTTGTGTAGAAAAAACCAAATCATTTCACATTTTTCTACAAGAATTCGTTTGTTTTCATTCAAAACTATTTCTTTTATTCAAAACCAGATTCGTTTAGCAAGCCATTTCCACAATGAGTAGGACGATGGAACTCACCCGCAATTTGAAGCGGCACACAAGCGATTACATTGACGAAATACCGCAAAAGATTCCAAAATTAATGGAGAGTCCACCACAAGATAAATCAGAAGCCGAAGACGAAACATTAAAATTGATTGATCTGAATGACTATTGTTTGGAGAGCATTTTTGAACATTTACCTCTGTCCGATTTGTTCAACATTGCTGAGTGTCATCAAAATTTCGTCGGCGAAGCACAATTGGCTGCAAAGCGAAAGTTTCGTGGAAAATCCGTTAAAATTGATTGTCACTACATTTCAATCGGTGAATCAGTTGGACACTTCATGGAGTCAGTTTCCAAGACACGATACAACTGCGAGAGAATTTATATTGCAGACTGTCCATTCGTATTTGTGACAAAGTTCTTTGAATATTTTGGCCATTTCATTTCGAGACTGACAATTGATGACGATTTCATGATCAGTTCAAAGACTTTCGGTAAACTCATCGACAAACATTCAACGCAATTGCAGCATATCGAATTGATGTATTCATTCGATGGAGATGAAATCAAATTGTGCAATGTGATCATGAACATCAAAAAGTTGACAACATGCATTGTGCCATGCATCACATTCAAAAATCTTGATGAATTGGAGCTGATTAAATTGGAAGAAGTGCCGTATACCGATATTACCGAGGATTACATTCGCTTGATGTTGGGATTCATTTGCAAACATCCGAATTTGGTCAAGTTGACGATCATGCTATCGTACTGGAGCTATTACTATCTGTCCAGTGAACATATCACGCAACTCATCACAAGCCTCCCGAATTTGGCTGAAATCACACTTGAAAATGATATAATTTCAGTCGAAGGTATCGTGCAACTTCTTGCTGGATGCAAATCGCTGAAAAGACTCCGTTTGCTGGCGTATCCAAATGAAATGGATCAACGGCTGTTTCATGAGTATATGGACACAAACAATGGCGATGAATGGAAGGTCGAAGTCGTTGGTACTCACGCCTATGGGTGCTTTGTATTGGATTTTATTCGAATGCAATGATTTTCTTCAGTACGCGAAAGAGAACACAAAATTAATCATTTTCTTATGTTGAAAACTTAAATTTGACTTTCTATATATTGATGATAACCACATTTTTTTCTTCATTTGATCATGTCAAACGAAATTTTAAGTGATGAGGTAAAAACAAAAGGACAGAACATGTACACATTGACTTAAAGGCTTAACAATAACTCGATTTCATTAAAAATAAAGAAAGATTTTCTAACAAAAAGAGGTCGGAACACGGAAAACTTCTTCTTCATTGAGTGATGTTCACTCTAAGTGATTATCAAAGATCGATAACGATTTCACTGCTGATGATAGACAAATTCGTTTTGCGTCTACATCAAATTAAATTTAATTTTTTAATATTTTCACGAATTTTACGATAAAAAGTCATTGTCATGAAATCCAAATATATTATTTTATTTGACAAAATGTCATTGTTTTTTTTTTAATTTCAAATTAACAACACAATATCTCTGTTATTTTAAACAAATGGAATTTCATTCACGACGAGTACTCAAAGTGACTTTGAACAGTTTACACAGAACGTCCATGTGATCCCTATAACGACGCAAAACGATTAAAACCAATTTAATTAAAAATTGAATGGTTGTTTATTCAACTTACTGCTGGATTATTGATAAAGTCTTGATATCTAGAGACTTTCGTGGCAATATCAGGTCGGCCGGGAACTAAACCTTTGATGATGCCAATCCATTCATGGGTGTTTCTTGAAAATATTGGACCTTATAAGAGAAGAAAAATATAAGTCTCTTGACGATACTAATGATTTAAGTAATCAACCTCCAGAAAACACATCACTTTTTATTTTATTTCCTCCGGCTTTGTATGAATTCTTACATGTTGTTCAATCCATGATGTTTGTGTTAATTTTTTTTAATGATTCTGATCCACCGTAGCCAAGTAAGGTAATTGGATGTCCAGTTCCTGCTGAAAATCGCGATCCAGCCATATCAGTTACATTGATATATTGACCCATACGTATATTATAATCGAATAGAATTGCTCCAACATCATATCTGTGTAGTTTGAAAAATTAAATTGCAAATAAAATGGTACCGTTAATAATTCAAAAATTGCTTACTTCAATCCACCGACTTTATATTTTTTATGAATTCGAAGATTTTGTTTGGTGAAAACGTAAAGATTATCATTATCGGTTGGATCTGTTGTACCAAGTCGCACTTCAACAGCGATGGCATTAATCAAACAATGTGCCGCACTGATCACCTTCGTAAGTCCGACGATGCAACCACCACAATAAAAAAACCCTCGGATGTACGGACCCTTAATGAAGCTATTGATCGAATTGGATGCTCACTCATTTCGGTATAGGTAACGGCACTACCAGTCGTTAAGCCATATGTGGAAAAGTTTACTGGAATTAAAAATAAAAATCGTTGAAAAATATGTGGGAAGCAAGTAAAAGGGTAGAAATATCTTTGTCATGCTCACCATCTTGGAAAATCTGCAAAAATCAATAGATATGTTTATTAAAATAAAAAAATATAAGCCGATAAACAATATAAAATAAATTCAAAGAAAACTCAATATTGCGAAAAAAAAAATGAACTTACAGAGTATTCACTTAGAAATAGGAACGCATAAAACGTGTACAAAGACTTCATTTCAATGGATTTTTTACTGTATAAAACATGTGCCAATTAAATGAATTATGAGTAAATTGCGATGTAATTTAATCTTTTATACACACGTTACTTGTTTTCATTAGTTTAATTAAAAATTGTTTACATATTTTAAGCATTCTTGGACGAATGTTTTTGTTTCAAATTTCTATCTGGAAACAAATATCATGATAGCATTTTTTTGTACAGTCCCCAACATTTCTAGATGTACGATTGACGTTGACTCCCATACAAATAAAATGTCTTATATCCGTAAGATGAACTTTTCCGCACTATGATCCACAACAATCATTTATTACGTATCTTTTACCGTAAATACGAATTCATGAGAAAACTGAATCTGACATGAGTTTTGCGATACAAATAATTTCTGGTACATTTTTCAATGCCTGTATGATATCGTAATGACGTGAAACTTTGCACAGGCTATTTTTTTCACACAAAAAAACCATTCTGAAAGTTTGAAGAAATGTTAATACAATTTAGGGCAGTAGTGTGCGAGGAAAATTTTTCAGGGGGGGTGATTTTCCAAAAACAAAAAATTCTCTAGCAAATTAGACAAATTTTCGTTTTTTTTTGGAAGTCACTTTTTGAGGCGAAAATCTCTAGCAAATCGAAAGAATTTTCTACGCGAAAAACCCTAGCAAATCGGAAAAAAATCTCTCGGAGCCAAAAACCCTAGCAAATTGAAAGAATTTTCCTCAATTTTCTACATTGATGAGCTAAAAAAAAAGAAAAGGTCTTCACTTTTTGAATCAAAAACCCTAGCAATTTCGAATAAATTTCACGAAAAATAAATTCTCATCCAAATCACAGGGGGGGGGTAAACCCCCCTCCACACACTACTGATTTAGGGGTACTTCCACACAAAATTTTCGTTTTGGAGCAAAATTACATCAAACTCTCAGAATGTTATTTTTGTGTGAAAAAAATAACCTGTGCAAAGTTTCAGCTCATTACGATATCATACAGGCATGGCTTCCATACAAAAATCCATTTTTTTTTTTTTCAAAATTTCGTATGCAAATGTGTCGAAATATATCGAAATATAATTTTTATCGCAAAACTAACGTCATATTTGGTTTTCTCGTACCCAAAAACCCCTAAAATCATATTTTTGAGTGTTTAAGAATACATTAAATATCACTTTCGGAAGAAAAATTGAATTTTTCTTATGGATGGCCATGGGCATCATACCAGACATGACACGTCACTCTATCAACCAAAATCGCTCAAAATCTAATGGTTTCTATTCGACCCACAACATGCATGCTCAAAACGGCCAGTTTCGGATTCTGTGACCTCAGAAACGTCCAAAAAACATGTTTTTGAGATGTCGTAAATTTTGACCCATTGCAATACTTTCTCCTTACACACTAGGTGTGTGCGGAAAAGTAATACCACCGTCCACCATACCCACATGTGGCTTATAAAACCGCTCAACAACATAAACAAAATAACCAAAATTTAAACGTTTAGTGGAATTGCATATGCAGATTGTTTTGTGTATTTTATTACGTGCGTCATTACATTCACCAAATTGATAATTTCGAATATAAAAAACATATGCTATACGCAAAAACAGTTGTCATCCAAAGAATTTATTAGTGAGACTCGAAAGTCGAAGAAAACTTCAAGTAATATCAGTTCTTATATTTATTAGTTGCCTCCTCAAAATTCAATTGAGTTGTCTGAAAGCAAAAAAATGGAAGAAATGACCGCACGATTTTTAGTTATTACTTTTCCGCACACACCTGGTGTGTAAGGTAAAGTAGTGGAATCGGTCGAAAAATTAGCACCCATCAAAAATGTGTTTTCTGGGTTTTTTTGGGGCCAGGGAACACGAATCTAGCGTTTTTTCGATGTCCGAATGTATGTGCGTACCCTGTACGCTGTACGTAAAAATTTGTTAACACGATTACTTTCAATCAAGAATAAAGAGGCTTACGTTCGCAAGCTGACTTTTCCGCATGGAACCGACATTTTGGGAATAAACTGAAATTATGGTCTATGTATGGTTGCAGTAACTTGAATCAACGTGAAAACTTGTGAATATTATTTTCTTATCAAAATAAATAATCACACCAAGTTTAAAGAAATTTCAATCAAAAAAATAGCCTGTTCAAAGTTTCAGATCATTACGGTACCACAAAGGCAAGTCTTTCATACAAAAATGAAACTTTTTGTGGATTTTTGTATGAAAAGTCTGTGAAAAATTGATTGCATCTTAAAACTAACATCAGATTCGGGTTTCTCCCCCCACTACACATTCATTTAGAGTTCAAATTGAAAGAATATCATTTTAAGGCATTTTTCTCATAAGTGCCTCTTCAGAGTCTAAGTTTTACACCGATCAGTCAATGTCCTTGAAAATTTGACCAGATCTATTCGTCGTAGTGCCCAATCATCCCGTAAAGTCAGATTTTGAATATCATGTCTGAGCACGAAACCATCGTGTCACCAAAATGGTTGAAAAATGATCAAAAAAGTAAAATGTATGGATTGTGTCCATTCGGACCAAAAAAAATTACACCAGTCAACAGATATTGCTCAAAAACTAATCAGCACGTCTCCTAGTAGTCCCAAATCATCCTGCAAAGTCAGAATTTGAATTGAGTTTTTGGAAGAAGACTTATCGCACATAAATACACATAGACATAAACACTGTACACACAACTTCATAAGTTCAACGAGTTAGATGAACATAGCATCAGTATAGCCATGCACATTGTGTGTTGCGTGCTTATGAATATACGTAGCGGGGTACACAGCACAGTGAACGAATCGCGAACGTTGATATGAATGGTTGAGAATAATAATGAAACTTAATTTTTGTTCAAACTGAAGTGTCCCTTCGGAATATTTCCAATAAAAGTGTCCCAACTTTGTATATAGTTTGCCATATAAACTTGGGACACTTTTATTGGAAATATTTCGAAGGGACACTTCAGTTTGAACAAAAATTAAGTTTCATTATTATTCTCAAGCATTCATATCTTCGCGCGACGCCACATATATCCGCATGCAATGCACGACGCGTTCTCAGCCAGATATTTTATATGCTGTGGATGGCAGCAGCGCTGCGCCATACTCTGATTTAGTTCAATATATTGTCTGAAATTTACATACTCATGTAATTTTAACTCAATACACATACACCTGTTGTTGTTCTTCACTCGAAAAATATGTGACGATTCACATTCAAACGCAATTACGTGCTATCTTAATTACATTATTGTGTAGAATTCCCCTATTTTTCAGGCACATCTTACTGTAATTCAAAATTTTTCGAACGTCAATGAATTAACTTGAAAACATGTTAGGTAATTTTGTAAATTGTTGTAATCGTTCTTTATTTGTCGAGTTACGTCTATATATTCATTTGGGAGTCAATTTTTTCAATCATTTACTTCTGATTACATACGAATAACGCGTGTGATATTGTCCTTCAAAAAAACCGCCATGAAATTGTTCTTCGTTCTGAGTTTCATGTTTTTAGTTTGGGCAAGTAAACTTTCGAAATATTTTTCCATATAAAAATATCCAATCAATTATTAACCATTATAGATTCCCGGCTTGAGGGCGGGCGTAGAACAATCGATGAGTAGACGAATTTACATTCCAAATGTTCCGATACACAGCAGTGATCTCGAAAAATTTGGAAAAGAGATTGACCCGATCAAATGGATGAAATAGTAGGAAACCCCAGAAAAAATATCCCCCAAATAGTTTACATGTTCATGTTTTATATTGCAGTTGCACCGGTAAAACGTTTTTATCGAATTATGTTCCCAGTTCCGTGAGTAAATTGGTACGGAAAACCATAAGCTGGATTCCTTTGATTGGCCGAACTGAGTGAGTTTCGGAACTTTTTCTTTGCTTACCAAAAATTGATCAATTTTATTTTTGTAGAAACATCACTTCGGCGTACATTGATGTCAACGAGAAAATGATGGAATTTGAACGACTTTACAACGATGATCCAAAAGACGGTTACAGAGAGGGAAAATACAAAAGGTAACTTTTTATTATCAAACCCGTTTGAATTACTTGTGAAATGCTGCCCGTAATTTGGATTTTGGAACTTTTCCATCAAAAATGTTGATCATTTTTTCAACCTGTCGAATAATTTTCGATCGATATGATCATTTTCTTCACAAATTTGTCGAAATTCAGAATTGTTTACTCGAAAATTCCAAATAGAGTCGCAAATGAATATTTAATCGATTTTTTGCAGTGCCAAAGCAACCATCTCATCAAGTGTTGAAAAACTTAAGAAAATCTACCGAAAATCGTATGTATTTTTCCATGAATGGAGTTATTTACAAAAACACACACGTGCGGAAAATTTCCATTTTGTTTCGTCGATTTTTGTACCAGGCCTGACGATAATGTTCGTGATGATGTCGAAAAAATGTGTGGCGACATGTTTACGTGTTTAGAATACTTAGAAGCTGGCGTATATCGAAAGGCATGGTGGAAAAAAGCATTAATTGCCACCGCTATGGGGGGTGCTGCATACTATGGATACAAACTATTGGCGGAATAGATCCATCAGTCGATGCTTGCAATGTTTAACAAGAAGTACATACAAAATATTAAAGTAATTCAATGCAAAATTATTTATTTCATTCAAAGATTTTCAACAGATTTCATATATAATATTTATAGTGCTGTAACTGTAGTGTAATGTAATGTTTTTTGCCATAACTGATTACAAGAAAGAGCAGCACTTACGGGTCGTAAGTTACTTCTGCCTATAAGAGCTCTGGTTTTTAAATAAATCAAAATTTCTTCCAAAAATAAATGTTTAGTTTTACTTTTCCGCACACACCTGGCCAAGTTTTCAAAACGAAGTATGAGGCATGACTACACTCGGTCCCCTCTACAACGCCTGGTATGTCACCCCTCTCGAACATTTCATGACTTCAAAATCTTATTACAGTGAAGTGAGATAACGTTAGATCTAGAGTCCCATCGATGGGATGGAATTTCGGAAAACGCATAAACTCCATTAATTTGCGGAACATTTAAAAAAACCTTTTGAAGTTATATTGTATCGACAAAATAAAAATATGGTAGTTAATATGTAAGCAGTAATTAATTTCATGTCAATTTTATTGAAGCTTCATCAAATGTTCATATTCATTTTAAAGCATTTTTACTAAGAGCTATACAACCTTTTGCACAAACGCCACCAACTGCTTTGAAACACCCTTTGGTACAGCCTATGGCAAAGTCTTTGGCGTTGTCGCCGGTACAGGAACCAAAACACTTATCAACTCCCACGTCATAGATTGCTTTGGCAATTTTTTGAGCCTTCGAAATTTTTGTAAACGGTTCAACAGGTGTTCTATCACCTCCAAGTTTCTTTCTCATTCCGATAAAATATTCAACCCATGCGACTCGTTGATTATTGAATTCCTTCAAAAAATTCTTCAATTTTCTTAGAGTTTCAACGAATTTTGTGTATAATGGAGACATTTCAATAACTGCGTGACTTAAATGTTCAATTTCTTCGTTTGTTTTATCAAAGTATAAGCTGTTATACATTGTATTAATTGATTCGATGTTGGCATCAATGCTTCTGCGTCCCATTTTAATGTCGTTTAATTCTTCGCGGAATTTGCCGATGAATTTCACATACACTGGAAGGATGTGGAAAGAAATTTTACTGTCCAAAGATCGCATTTGCTGTTTGTCAATGGCATTCTCAATCCATTGCTTATAAGAATCATAAAACAATTTATCGTTTTTATCAAGCGTATTGAACTCAAGTTCGGCTTTTATTTCTTGATTCAACTGCAAGTGTGCGGCCTGTTGATTCAGAATTAAATCCATATGTTTCCGTAACAAGTCACACCCGTTTGTACCCTTAAATACCATCGTTTTTGGTACATTTTCCGCGAGGTCTTTAGCAGTGAAGTCAAACTGTTTTAAATCATTGTTGAGCACAGCATTAACGTTTTCAATGTCAAACTCTGGAAATGGTTGGGCTACAAAGCTCAAGTGAGTCATCAAATCGACCTGTTTTTTATTTGCTTTTTGAAACAATATCTGCATCAATCCAGAGATGGTCACGTCCTCGTTCTCTTCATCTCCATCGCAATTGATCAACTAGATTGAATTTTTTTTAGAAGAATCGAAGTATATGAAATAAAAATGATAAAAACAACCAGTCAAACTTTGAGCATTTTATACCTTAACGAATAGCAATAGCGATAGAAGCAATGGAAATAGATATGGCTTCATTTTGGATTCACTTGAATTGACTTGAACGTGTCACTTTTAAAGAGATAAAACTGATTGTTGCGAATCGCTTTTTATACACAAATTCAACAGGTGACATTAATACAGTTGGAATATTCGGCTTATGCAAATACATTCAGAATATTTACGATTTTACAACGAGGTATTTGGGTTTGGTGTAATTTTTAATTATTATCTCTTATTATCTGTAACAAAGATAATAGTTAACTCTGTAAGAACTTTTATAAAGTGGTTAATTTTGTAGTTTTAATTACAAATTTGTGGTTGAAGTCACCGACAAGATCATTGGAGATAAAGATTTCGGAAGGGACGATTATCAAAATACTAAAAGTACAGACGAGTATTAATCACACATGCGCACTGGGGGGATTTCGGGATTTACCCCCCACCTGGACTTGATGACGTTCCCAAGTCCATACATTTTCAGACCTATAGCAACTTTTTCTTCTGTCTAAACAAAAAATGTTGGATATGATGAAAATGGTTTATCTATTCAATTGTGTGAACAAAACTATATCGTTTCATTAATTTTTCACTATCCGGTAATTTCGACACGTTAGAGATTATATTTGAGTACTCGTTGGTACTTTTGGTATTGACTCGCCTTTTTCACATATTCCCTAAAGACTGTAAAACGAGTGAATTTTAATAACGCGAATGATCAGATCTATCAAAATCAAACAATCAAAAAACATGCCAAAATCACTAATAAAGACTAAAAAATACTTTAATTTTTTTAAAAATATATGAGATTTCAAAAAAAGGAAAAAGCCACACTCTTGTTTGTCTAATGCACATTCTCTTTAAAATACATCAGCAACGTCGAAAAGTGAATGACAAATCAAAAAACCAAATCGGTTGTTGTGAGTCACCCATTGCTCATGAAAGGTTTAAGGACACGTTTTCTATATCAAGGTTACAGCGACAGTACATATGTACGATGCAAATACTACTGCATAGGTATTCAATTGAAAACACACCAAACGTAATTAGAGTTTGTGATCATTTTTCATAATAACAATGCGTCAACGATAAAATCAAAAAACTGCTCTCAGAAATTGCTGCTCCCAGCTGCTCCGAAGTCGAAAAGACTGACAGCTAGTATTCGATCGGCGTTATTGAGTCAATATAGTGTTTTACTTTTCCGCACACCTAGTGTAGGGAAGGTATTGTATTAGGCCAAAAAATTAAAGTCATCCCAAAACATGTTTTCTATGCATATTTCATGTAGAAAACACGATTGGAGATGATTTTGGGGCATATTAATGTGCGTCGCTGTGTGTGATGTGTCCTGTGTCCTGTGACCTGTGTCCTGTGACCTGTGTCCTGTGTCCTGTGGCGTGTTGCCAAAATTTGTTAACTCGATAAATCTTCTTCCAAAAACTCAATTCAAAATCTGACTTTTCAGGATGATTTGGGACCACTAGGAGACGTGCCGATTAGTTTTTGAGCAATATCTGTTGACCGGTGTAATTTTTTTTGGTCCGAATGGAGTACCCACATCCATACATTTTTTGATAATTTCTCAACCATTTTGGTGACACGATGGTTTCGTGCTCAGACATGAAATTCAAAATCTGACTTTACCGAATGATTGGGCACTACGAGGAATAGATCTGGTCAAATTTTCAACGACATTGATTGACCGGTGTAAAACTTAGACTCTGAAGAGGCACTTATGAGAAAAATGCCTTAAAATAATTTATTATTTCAATTTGAACGCTGAAAGAATGTGTAGTGGGGGGTTTTTTGGCACGAGAAACCTGAATCTGATGTTAGTTTTAAGATGCAATCAATTTTTCACAGACTTTTCATACAAAAATCCACAAAACATTTCATTTTTGTATGAAAGACTTGCCTTTGTGGTACCGTAATGATGTGAAACTTTGAACAGGCTATTTTTTTGATTGAAATTTCTTTAAACTTGGTGTGATTATTTATTTTGATAAGAAAATAATATTCACAAGTTTTCACGTTGATTCAAGTTACTGCAACCATACATAGACCATAATTTCAGTTTATTCCCAAAATTTCGGTTCCATGCGGAAAAGTCAGCTTGCGTACGTAAGCCTCTTTATTTGACTATAAAACTAGTTGAGCGTAGATAAGAAATTCCACAGAATGTAAAAAAAAAAATTCATATGGAATGTAACGAACAATAGTCTTATTTAAATGCTTGTTTCAAATCTAAAACGAAAAATTTGACATTGGAAATGGTTTGACATTTCCAATGGTTTAGACATTCGTTGTCATTATCAAATGACAGCAACCAAATTGACATCCATGTGCTTCAACCAAATAATAAATTAAAATATCACGCGACTGATGTAATTGTCATCAAAATTTGGATTTTATTTGCTTTTCATTCCACTATCTAACAAACAAAGTCATTGTTTTTGTAGTTACGTTTAAGTTGAAGCTTCGTTTTAATTTTTCTGATAAAAATGTTAATATTAAAAAAATTACGACCAATTTTTAAATCGAATTTAATGACAGGTCGTTTGTTAAGCACTACACCAATCAAATTGCAAAGTGTTGAATCAAAAATAGAAAAGGTGAGTTACATTTAGTGTGAATTCAATTGGAATTAAGTCGATGCGTATCGATTTCAAAACAAACTCAAATGTCTCTTACAGCCCAAAGAAGTGCGAATCGAAGTGCCATGGGGACACATCTCCGGGATATGGTATGGACCGGAAAATACCCAACCAATCCTATTGGTGCATGGTTGGCAAGACTGTTCGACTGTGTTTGCGACTCTAATCCCATTGTTACCGCCTGAGTTCAGCTACTTGGCCATCGACCTGCCAGGTAAAATCGTCTTGCCCATCACACATGAATACATTAAGCATATTTTTTTTGTTTAAATTTTGTTTTCGCCAGGCCATGGATTTTCATCACATTATCCCAAAGGGATCTATTACCATGGAATTGATTTTGTGGCGCTCTTAGAAAATATTCGCCAAAAATACAATTGGCCACAATTATCGCTCCTCTCTCATTCACTCGGTGCGATTGTTTCATCTGTGTATGCATCAATATATCCGCAGAATGTAAGATGTGCGTGCGCTTTGGACACACTCAAAATTCTGAGCGTCGATCCAAAGCTGGTCGAACAAATTCAAAATTGGCAAATGAAAAAGTTAATCGCACTTAATGACAAACAGCCACCGCCCGAGTACAGCTACGATGAATTGCCTGAACGAGTTTATGTTGGTTCAAAGAAATCCATCGATTTCGACAAAACAAAATATTTGATTGAACGTGGCACAATGCGATCGTCAAGCGATCCAAATAAATTCTATTTCACTCGAGACATTCGGGTCAAATTTATGCATACGCTATTTGTTGATCAACAAACTGGTTTGGAGTATATAAAACGAATCAAAGCACCTTATTTATTTATAAGAGGTGACGATCGTGATTTTGCCGAATCAGAAGACAATATTAACGAAGGCGTTGAAGTATTTCGAAAGCATAACAAACAATTTGAAATGATGAAAGTGACGGGAACACATCACTTTCATCTGAATCAACCGGAAATGATTGCGGAAAGAGTGGGGCATTTTTTTAAGACGTATCATGGCCAATAATGACCAGGTGCATTGAATTGCACTGGAAATAAATATTTTGATGAACGTTCTATTACCATTTGGACTCGGAGTATTTCGTTTACAATTTGAAGAAAAAGACGTATTTATTTCATATGTTAATAAGATGTTAATTCATTGGAAAGGTATTAATATAACTGTATGTTGGTGTGATTAAAAAATGTTCAAATTTATTATTTTATTTTTCTTTAAAATTGTGCGTTTATTTCAATATCGCTTATTAGGTCAGACAATTTTTAAATGTTATAATACAATATTTATTTATTCAACAAAAATCCAAAGGGATTATTAAATGATTATTCACAATTTTCTGAATATAATATCAAGAGAACAATAAAAATGAGATTACCAATCAGTAATTGGTATTAATTAAATCATGACTTATTAATTACAACTAATTGATTTCATTAGGGCATTGATGACGACCCATGATAAGCTTTGATTTGATTTTTATTGTTATTATTTTTTTTTGCTGGATTGATTTCTTTGAGAATTTCTTCTCTAATTTAATGATGATTTCATTGCTTATCGATGTTTAATTAAATTTTTTGAAATTTCAATATTATGGGATAAGCAAAAAAACCAAAGAGAAACGAAATTGGGCAAGCCTATTGCTATCTTTCATGCTACTTATCAACCTCTATATACTATATACTATATTCCTCTCTCTCTCTTCTCTTTCTTCTTCTCTCTTCTATCCTAGCTTCTTTCTATCTTATCTCTTCTACTTCTCCTCTCTTCCTTTCCTTTTCTCTTTCACTCTCCTCCTATCTTTATCTCAGTCTCTGCCTCTCCATTTCCATTTCTCTCTCTCTCTCATTCTCAAAAAAAATGCAAGTAAAAGATGTAAGAATTACAGCAATACGTAAGCCATAATCAAGTGTCAATTGTTCAATGTTCGTATGTTTTTACCAAGAAAAAAAATTCATGTCGCTCTCATAAGCTTTAGAATGTGTTTGCCACGATTTAATTAATCTCCTAATGCTAAAAAAAGGTAAGTCATTGTTCTTTCTTATTAAAAAATTCGTGGAATTCCTCATTTCTGAAAAAAGGTATAACAAAAAATCGTTAGACACTCGAGATGAACTTTTTTGTGTAAAATGAATCTAAACAGTTTTGAAAAAAAAAATTAATTTATTTTATATGCTTATGAATCGTAAATAAAATGCGCGTTGAAAAAAAATTGATCGTTTTTTGAATCATTTTGAGGAATAATATAAACACAAAATAGAAAAGAAAATAATTAAAATAAAATTAAAATAGTGGAAAAAATCTGCCTTAAGGCGTACAAGCGTAATTTGCATTATTGCTACGGTCGTCTCTATTTCCTTTCTTCCTTTGGGATTTGAAAAACGAGTTTCGATATGAAATCGTTATTTTTGGCATCATTAAATTGAATTTCTGTGTCATCGGTGGCAAGTGCCATATTTTTGTGTGCAACCCGTAGATAACAATTATCACAGCAAATTTCAATGTGCATACAAATGTTGCAAGATTTATTCGCATCGATTGCAATACCCTCCGGTACATTAATCCGAATTTCATCCTTTCCAATCATAATAACAAATTCAATTTTACGTATTCCGCGTTCATTTTTTGCACTCATTGTTGTAATAACACACCATCCCAAAATTTCCGTTTGGCATCGTTTCGATCTCTTGAGTTTCATATAAATGTCGGTCAGCATTAATGGTTTATTTGCGTTAAATGTTGATATCCACATATACGGTAGATCGAGAAAGTTTGTGTATTCTTTCGTGTTGGTTTTTTCGACATCGCTTAGTTGTCGATCGAAAATAAGTACGCGCGGTTGAGCATGACATTTGAATGTGCGATTTTGTGAGTTTTCCGTTGAAATTTTTGCAATAATCGTTTCCATTTCGTTGGCAGTGAAAAAGCCACGGAACTCAATGATGTGCTGTGAAAACTCTTCCAGCGCCAATTTATCGAATGGCATCTGATCGAAGGCATCATGAAGTGCTGTCCGAAGATTTTTTGAATTTGGCTCCCAATTGCATAATTTGCATGCATTTTTGGCCCATTGCATTATCGCACCAATCAATTCAAATGGATCACACTTATCCGATATTAAATGCAATATTTTTGCCAATAATTGTGGCTTACACACTTGAAATGTATTCGTTTTGAATACTTCTGTTGCATGTTCGTGGATCTTTTGCTCACACGATGCTATCACATTTTTTTGCTCAAAATGTAATGCAATGCCATAGCCCCAGCACACATAATCAATGGTTAATACATTTTGTACGAAGATTTTTTCGCATATTTTAAATCCATCGATCATCTCGTATTTTTCACACAACATCATCACACCAATCAAGTGCTTTGGCGTTAATCGCACTTTGGCCAAGTAGAAAAATTGTAAAAAATCTTTAAACTCGTCGGCCGATGCATTGTCAATACGAACGTCACCACTCTCCGGCCAGCAGCCGTAAAACATCATGTCGAACACGAGACTTGCTATGGATAAAATGGGTTTGTGCGCTGGTACTCGGACTAATTTATCCGGTTCGGTGCCAAAGATAAAGGTAACATCGGCTGTTTTTGCATTCAAATACAATTTTTCGTATCGTTTATGCACCGAACCATTGTCATGTTCCAACATCAAATCGTCCATTTTTTTTGATTTCACTTTTTTCACACTGTTATTATTTATTCAAATTTTTCCGTTTTTGCGTTTTCTTTCAAAGTTTTACACGGCTACGGATTTATTCAATTTAATGATATTATTAAAGTAAATTTTAAAAAATGAAAGAAATTTTTTGATGAAGTAAAATGCTTTTTTTCCAAAAAATGTTTCGTTTTTTTTTCAGTTTAGACTTTCTTCGGTGAGATGCTGCGTGTGTCTCCTTTGACAACAAAAATGAAACTAAATCTTAGATTATCTGGTCGAATGCAATTTACTTGAAGTGATAAAAAGGGTTCATCGGTCCTTAGCAGGTAATTTTTAGAGATAATGATGTCAGCCAATTTGCGGTTACAATGAATACAGCTGATAATTTTCTTTCACTTGTCTTACCACTTTGTGGTTTTTTGTCTTTAATCGCTTTATGCATTCAGGAGAAATGTGTTTTTGGTGAAAACTGGGTGCTTTTTAATGACTTATTTGAGGCTGGAGTAGACATGATTCTGTAACATCATACGCACCGGCTTGATGAACAAACGACTTGACTCATAAAAATCAATATTTTTTTATCTCTTTAATTTTCAACATGTATGCTCGTTTTATTGCATTGTCTTGAAATCTAAATCCAACAAATTTCCAACGAAATTTGGCGATACTTTGATACATGTAAGTGAAAAATAGAAGGATTTTTCTTCGAACGAATCGCACTAATAATATGTTTGTTTTTTTCGGCTGGCTCGACTGAACGAGTTAATTTTGTGAGCAAAAATTCCGTCGAAAATTGCAGAGCAGGTAAGGAGAGATAGAGGGATAAATAGAGAGAGAGAGAGAGAGAGAGAGAGAGAGAGTAATTATACAAGTCTGACAAAAAACATACGGAGCTTAAATTTCGTGAGAATTGTGTTTGATGATTTCAGAGATGTTAATTTGTTTGAGAGAATCGCTTTTCTTGTTCGACGTTGGAAATGAATGTGACCGGTGACAACGAATATGGCGGAATGAACAAATAAAAATATTGTTTTGCGAATTGAAAACTGTGTTAGTTTCCAGAAAATCAATATTGATAGAATAGGATGTGAATAAGTCAGTATGGAATAAATTAATAATTTATTATGTTAATGATTGTTGAATAATAAGAAAACCTAAGAACTTTTATAAGAAAACTTCAGATTTGAAATAAACCTCTTTCTTGAAACTTCACGCCGCACACTTATTCTTGAAAAAATGAACTCACGTCGATCCCCAGATTTATAAAATACTCAAATCAAAAACTCAAAAATGGTTCATTTTCTGTCTGTCATTATCAATCGATTTATTTTATTTATTATGAAAAGTCCAAGTTAGTCTATTTAATAATTCATTGAATTTAAATTGTTAACACAGTTTAGCAAAATGGAAATAAAAAGTGGATAAAAATGTTGATTGACCATTTATACTTTTTTCTTATCGAATTCGACTACTAAAAAATACATCGAGCCTATCACACCATTGTGGATGGAGGTGTGAGGCCAGTAATAGATATGGCTTACTAATATATGATTTACTTGCATTTCAACCGTGCATAAAAATATAATATCGATGTGAAGGACGTGGAGTTCTCTTTTTAAAAGAACGGCAAATTAAAGGACAGTTTTAGCCTGTTAATTGTCAGAATATCCTTCTATTGATTTAATTGATATGATGCATTGGCTATAAAAGAGCCACGCCAGTGCACAACTTTGGTGCAGTATTTGTTGAGTTGCATTTGAGAGCACTCGTGTTACACGACTGGTGTTTAATAAAGAAATTGTCTTTACTTCAACATTCAATTTTGTAACAAAAAAATTGATCAGTCTTTTACAATAAAACAAAAGTAAAATTCACAGATATATTTTTAAAACTTCAAAATCGAAAGTTAATTTCCCCTCAATAATTCCGAGAATTGGACACAAAATCATGAAAAATTTTCAAACGACGCGAAAAATCTATGAAGAGTTGGGCTTATATCAGTCTCAAGCATTTGAAAATCATACGATTGGTGTTCGATTTTGGGCGGTTTTGATTGGAGTTGTAATAACAAATGTATTGGCATCAATGGGCTTTCTAGTTGAAGCACAAAACTTTGAAGAATATTCGGATTGTGTGCTTACCACTCTTATATTCAATAATTTCGAAGGCATCCAACATGTTCAAGCTCATTGAGAATCTCGAAGCAGCAATCGAAAAAAGTAAGTATTTTAAATTGAATTCGATAAAATCGATGGAAATAAATGACCACCTAAGCCTACCATCACTTACAATGGCAAATAATGTAAAAAACTGCATGATGGCGCCATCTCTATGTGCTCATGAAAATTAGAACAAAAAGTTTGTGTAGAATGTTAGTTGTTTGAAGTTTGAATACGGAATCATTTGTTGTGACGTCTGTCATTTTACGCTCGATAAAGATATACCGTGTAAATTGAACAAAAACCGATTTATTATTTGTATTTGGTGAATTTGTGATGGAAAATAAATTGAAATTACTTTGCACAGTTTGTGTCATCGAAATTAACTGCGAGGACGTTGCATATCACATGGTTTTTCTTCACACAAAATCAGTTGACATTTTTGACTTTTTCGCACCAAAAAAAAAATGTTTTAATTGCCTTTGGTGCTCGTTTGGATCGCGAGTTCAATGCCAAGCACATAGAGATGTCGCTCGGAACGTGAAGCTCAAAAAAAATATACAGGTGATATAGAAAGCAAGTGAGGGTAGACCTAAGCTGAGTTGACAATAAATCATTTTTATTTCTTTTCAATTTAATGCTAAATAATTTGATCAATAAATATTTAGGAATGGGAAATCCGGTCCAAGTCAGTCTTTTTAATAATTCATCGAAGAAATGTTGACGAATGCAGCTTATACACATGTTTTTCTTCCCACCACGACAGCATTCAGTGCACGTATGTAAATATCAAATTACCAAAAGTAAGGTAGAAAGTGGATAACTTTATTATAATATTTTCATCGAAAATATTCATTTTTCACTTTCCAATTGGATGTGCTCATGCCAGCTCTAATCAAGAGGATGTACCATGGTATGTATATTAGACTATCCCAGAAAAATTAAAAGTTAGAAATGGTAATTATAGCAGAATCTCAACCAGAAGACATATAATCAACCATTTGTTCTACAAACAAATAGATTTGATTTGACTCCGAACACAAATATTGAACAGAAGATCGTCATGAAGCCAAATAAATCAAGACATTTATTTCATTTTTTTCTCATTTAGAAAAAAGTTTTCAATATATTTTTCTCATTTAATTTAAACGAAGAATCGTAACAAAAATAAACTTTGAAACTCCTTCTTTCGCTAAAAAATTATTTCAACATTCACAAAGTCATCGAATTTTGATCAAATTAGATTTCACTCATAATTACATTTATAACTATGAAGAGTTTTGCGTTTGAATTAATAAAAATAAACATTATTATAACAAATTTTTTCCCTTGGAATTTCCCAAACCAAATGTTTTTTTTTTTTAATTTAATATTTACTTTAGAAAGCCCAATTTCTAAGTCTTAATACTTGAAAGGGAGGCATTGAGCTCCACTTTTAGAAGAATATATTTGCAATATTCAGTATTTAGCTCTGTGTAGAACACGATCATTTTTTTCTTTCTTGTGCAGCTTATTCAAAATGTCACGATTTCTATATTTAACCATCATTCAAGTGGCTGTGGTAAGATAAATTTTTTCAATTTTTATTAAATATGGATCTGAAGATTAGAATATTTTAAATATGGATCTGAAACCAAGTGTGTACGTGTTTCGTTAAAGATTTTAATGATCAAAGCTGATTTCACGCCAATACCATTGCCGAAACCAAGTTCAAAAATTATAATAGTCGATGTGGCTCTATTTGATCCATTTTGGACGGAGGCAGGGCGGCAAATTAAATCAAACGAATGGTTTCAAAGGTAATTGCAATTTTCTTGTTATGGACATATTCATGATTATTGGTAGAGTATAAGTTCGAGTCAAGCTGCTATCTAGGCTGCTATTGCTTGATCAGCGATCAACGTTTTGGAACGTGGAACGTTTTGAACATTTTTGTTATAATACAAAGGAATCTTGATCTATCGCATTTTACTTGACACGGTAAAATAGACTCCATACACGCAATTTTCGTAACGTTCTGCGTGCTCCATCATTATTACTTAATAAATTTAATCCAGAATTTTATTTATTACGAAAATTTTCACGGTGAACCACCTGTAACAGGTGAAATACACCAATGGTATAATCAGCGTAGAAACAGTTAAGTTAACGAAAACGTCAATAATAATAATATTTATTCACCGCCAAAAACTGGCTGAATCATGTTTGAGTGTGTACATTGATTTTTATACATTTATGGTGGGAAAAAAGGTTTAATCATTAGTTTGTGCACATCTGATCACCGTTAAAAACCACATCTTTTCAAAATTTAGAACAGAAAACATTTTTTGATAAGCATTAGTAGACAATATTAATATTTAATTTGCTTGATTATGTGTGTAACCAACTGGTGAACGGTAAATTACATTCTGTATTTGGCAATAGCAGCAACTCGAGCCTAATATGGTTAATATGTATTTAAATTAAAACGAAAATAATTTCCAGATGTTTTGGCCCGGTCGATGGCATCAATCTGAATCAAGATGAAAAACCAAAAAAGTCTATGTTTAAGACGTTTAAACGAATGGTTTCATTCTTGAAAGGAAAAAGTACTTACAAATAGTTAGTTTCTTTTTTCTCATTTAACAAGAGTTGAATCTATAAATTATTTCTCATTTTTCAATGAATTCATCTATAGTGAACTGCTTGAAGTGTCAACCGATGTGAACCTTCAACTATCCAGTTTTATGGAGACATATAACAAAGAAGATCGCTCAACAACATTCACTGATTTTGAATATGAAAGGTATGTTCCTTAATTCTCTTACGTCTTTCCATAAGATATTTACACTAAAATTTGTCTGCCTAGGCTAAAATATATGTTTCAAGTATCTGCATCGGAATTAAAGGATTTACGTGAAAAATTGTATGTGGTTGAACGAAAATGTTGATGAAAACTGAGATAAAAGGGATGTAAAAACTTTTTTTTTGTCCACAGAGATAAAGAGAATCAAGAAAACGACGATATAAAAAAGTTTATGAGAGAAGTGTACTATCATTGCGAAGACATACGGATGAATTTGATGGCCATCAAGTCTGTTTTACTACAACAAAACTTTCGTTTAATCACCATGAGGCGTTTGAGTGGCAAAAATAGATCCAATAAACCACCGAAACCAACACCTAAAGCACTCAATTCATTTAAAATGAAAAAGCCACAATGAAGCAAATTGGATGTGCATCGAACACAAAAGCATTGTCGCCCACTGCATAAACACAATGAATAAATTATCTTTTTTCTCCAAATAAATCATTTTTATCACAGCGAACGGCAGTTCGCGCGAGTGACGAAACCACATTAGTGTGTTGAAAAATCGAACTCGCTATATATACACGTAATTTACGAAATCCAGACCTAGAA